AATATATATTTATTAATAATTTATATTAATTAAAATATAATATAAATAAATAAAAAACAAAAAATAAAATAAATAATATATATTAATTAAAATTTTCTTTAAATAATAATAAAATAAAAAGTAATAATAACAAAAGGACAAAAAAAAACACAAAAAACTATAAAAAAAAATACGATTCAAACCTACTTAAGGGTGTCAATGGCAATATATAGGGGTGCCATTAGCCTTCCCCTTGATTATTTGTTAGTTTTATTGACACTAAGGTGCCGTTTATCAAACGCTTACCCGAGTAAGTGCTTACCAATTCACATTAATTTACCGCATGAATATAGCAATGACTAAGAATCTTACCCGATAAGACCGAAGACAAGAATTGAGAGTCTTACCCGGTAAGTGAGAACGAAGACTCTTACCATGGTTAGCTCTTACCGGGATAAATTGTTACATACGCTGCGTTTTATTGAATAAAATGTTGTCCGGTAAATAAACGACAATGTTGAATTTTACTGGTAAGTGCTTACCGGGTAAGTGTTTAGGTAAACGGCTTCTAAGTAACTTTAAAAAAGTTATTTATGTGTAATAATTAATTGTAAACTTTAAACTTAAAATATTATACACTTAAGCAATACGTAATGTTTAAAAAACTGTTCCACGGAGAGGATGGGATTTGCCGAAGAAACAATGTCGAGGGAGGTACCATTTTGGACATCAAAACACGAAAAATACTACCAATACATTTTACGAACTGTAAGAATGTAAACTAAAAAGCAGCCATAGATGAAGGACCAAAAAAGCAAATCACACTAAATTTAGTCATGAAAAGATGAAAATGTCCCTCACTTGACTAACTTAATAGAGTTTTTTTTTGTAGAGACCAAAACAAAAAGACAGTTATAGACGGGAGACCAAAAATGTAATTAAGGGGGTGTTTGGGATTGCTTATTTGAAACAACTTATGCTTTTCTACAAAAGCACTTATCAACTTATTACAAGTCAGAAGGGTTTAACTTCTTCAAAAACTCCTTATTATCGGTTTGACACCGGTATAAGTTGTTTATCCAAACACTCAAAAGTGCTTATTACTGGTACCACACCGGAATAAGTCAATAAGTTGTTTTTATAAGCAATCCCAAACACCCCCTAACTCTTAATACTATCATTAATATAAAATAATATGTTAATATTAATATAAGTAATAATAATAGTTATCATTATTAATATCTAGAGTAAACCTCAATTTTGGTCCTTGTGGTCTCCGTTTACTATTTATATTTGTTATTATACTAGTTGTGTACTCACACAATGCGGCGGGAATCGAATATATAAACGATTTTGAAGCTTGGGCTCTTTAAAATAAGAGTTATGGTTCCAAATTGAAGTTGATCAATGAAAAACAAATAAAATTATTGGTTTGCTACTTTGATACGCCATTTCCGATAGGGCACAATTCCTTCAACGGTAGAAGAATTGCTACTTTGATCTGCTATTTCGAAAGACGATCCTTTCATCTTCTTCTCTAGTTGAGGTTTCATTTCCAAATGCGATGACCTAAGGCTTCTTGATGCATCATCATGTTAATGCTTTGAACCTTGTATTTTTTACACCTTAGATTTGAAGGCTGAAAGAACGAACATGCCTGAAAAAGTTTAAGAAGTGCTAGATGATGCAAAAGTTGAAATCAAAAAGCTCATATCATAATATTATGTGAAAGTCAATCTTTGTGACAACTTGAACATACCGTATGGTGAAACAGTGGTTGCAAACCTGAATTCATGTGAAAGCAATCTCTCCCAATTTGAAAAAGTGGTTGCAGACCAGAATTCTTGCAAACAGACACAAGTTAGAAAGTAAAGAGGCCCATTTCAAAGAGATCACAACAATACTAAATGATTATAACTCTATGATTTTACAATTAACAATAGAGAAAGAAGAAAGCCTGAAGGTTGTAATTTCTTAATTGCATACTCCAAATTACAGTTAAAAACCAACTTTAAAAGATAATTATTTTGTTGCATAATAACTTAGGGGACGTTTACTAAACACTTAACCGGTATGCGCTATCCGGATAAATATGATAAGGGCTAAAAATCTTACCTGATAAGTGCTTTGACATAGATCACAACAAAACTAAACGATTATAACTCTATAGTTTTATAATTAATAATAGAGAAAGAAAAAGCCTAAAGGTAGTAATTTCTTAATTACATACTCCAAATTAAAGCTAAAAATCAACTTTAGAAGACAATTATGTTGTTGCATAATAGCTTAGGGCCGTTTATTAAACACTTAACCGGTAATGCGCTATCCGGATAAATATTATAAGGGCCAAAAATCTTATCCAAAAAATGCAAAATTTTACCGGGTATGGCCATCAAGACAATAACCAACCAGTGGAACAAAACCATACAAACATAAGTTTGTGATGCCAAAGGAGCACCCACAAACATATATCAATTTTCCAGCACATCAAAACAATAATCTTTTAAAAACATCAAAACTTTCATTTAGCTATTAATCAGAATATTTAAAACAACCCTTTAATGGCCGTAACATTGTCAAAATTACAATTTGGATCACAAAAGCATTATATTTAATCAAAAGAAAAGAGTCGAACAAAAAGGCAATATCAAACACACCTTATGAAAATCAGGATGAGAAACCAAAGGAGCACCCACTTATGAACTCATCGTCAGCCCTACCTACACATGTTTATCATGTTTGAAACTTATGTCTATTGGCCTCATAGTTTTTCAAGGACTCCACACAATCTTTGCTTTTAAGACCATATAGTTGTTATGGATATGTTTACCTTCAACCAATTAAAAGGTCAATAAAATAATTTCTTGTTTTGATATGTAATCACCAAAAGTATCTAAGAGTACATTTGTCTCTAATAAATAAAATTCATTTGCCATATATGAAAATTTTGACCTACTATATGCAGAACTTGATAGAAAATCAGTTTAACACCAAAATTTAATTACATAATATCAATGATTATGAGAAGAACATTTGTTGTTGCACCCCAATAAACATCTTAATAACACTAAAAGCAGGATTTAAATTTGGTTAAAGTATTGATAAAACCGAATGGCTTGGTTAATTTCGAAGAAAACAAAAAAGCCAAAAAAGAAACAGAACAAAAAAGCAAGAAAAAAAAATGCTAGTAATTATGAACATAGATTTTACTAAATATCATGAATAAATAATAATGCACTACTAAACAGCTTGTTATCATGACTTTTTATTTTGTCAACAAGGTGCTTTGCATGTATTTCAACCATTGGAGCCAAGTGTATGTATTTGTTATGGCATATTGGCAATGAAAAATGTGCAGCAATACAATTGCAATCATTGGTTACACAACATTAAATGGTCTTAATGGCATCAATGGAAATGGATGAGCGCATGAACGCCTTCAAGTTGAGCATGGATCGCATTCATTAGATATGGTCCTTGTTAACACATGTGATGTACACACAAACTAAAATATGACATCTAGTGGAATGTCTTTGGGTCTCCCAATTTGAATCTTTGAAGATCCTCGAAGCAAAATAAATAAGATTGACAAGAAATTTGGAAACAAGATATTGAAAATAAAAGAATAATCAAATAAATAAGTTTATATGATGATCAACCAAACAAACTGCTAGAGCAAAATGAACATTTGTAATCATTTTTGGCAAACCAGAAAATAGTTCATGTGATTAACAAAGTAGATTGCAGAAACCATCTATGAACTACCATAACATAAAAATCTCCATAAAATATATCCAACTTTGTGTTTAGAAGACTGAGAAAGAATAAATTATGCATAAGCACATTTTTACTCTTGTTCCAATAAGGTGAAGACTTGTTACCTCTGGTGGTGCAGCAGAAAGCATGTAGAAGCAATGATAATTTCTTTCGAGATGTGATAGTTAACAAACACAAGATCTTTCCAATAAGTACGTTCTTATAGCAGCCCCTGAAATCCTTCCCTTCTGATCAAACTGAATCTTCACAAACTTGCCAAAGCAACTGAAATGGTGGCAATAGATAAGCATTACTGAAAATGATTAATGTAGAACAGATGCAAGACTGTCCAGGGAATTGCAAATGGAAGTTCACCTCACCTTGAGTTATTATTTCTCACAGTTTTCGCATTACCAAAAGCTTCTAAGACAGGATTGGACTACAACATATAAGGCATATGAACAGTTTAAGTGATCTCAATAAGATTAAATGTGTCATCAAAGACATCAAATAAACACCCCCTAAGTGATAAACACTCTTTCGATACGACATATATAAATTTCAAATTATTGTAGTTAGTTTCTCATTGCAAACCACAATAGTAAAGCTTATATATCTCGGATTAGCTAAAAACACGTTAGCTACAACCTTTGCACATTCATTGTGGAACCATAGTAAAGCTCATACACATAAACTGATTTTTGAGAAAGAGTGTTTACTTGCAAATGAAAAAACCATATGTATAACAACCAAACAACCCTGTTTTGTTGTTATTTTCTACATAAGTAAAGGGCTGTATAACAACCAAAACAGCCCTGTTTGAGAAAGAGTGTTTACTTACATTAAGCACCTAAGATGACTTGAGGAAGACTTTGACAGTTATATATCTCTGATTAGCTAAAAACATGTCAGTTACAAACTTTGCACATTTATTGTGGAACCATAGTAAAGCTCATACATATAAACTGATTTTTGAGAAAGAGTGTTTACTTGCAAATGAAAAAACCATCTGTATAACAACCAAACAACACTGTTTGGTTGTTATTTTCTGCACAAGTAAAGGGCTGTATAACAACCAAACAACCCTGTTTGAGAAAGAGTGTTTACATACATTAAGCACCTAAGATGATTTGAGGAAGACTTTGAAAGTCATTATATGGGGTCTTTTTCTTATATTTTCACTTACTTCCCTCGATTTTATATGCATGTATGCCTATCTCCATGTACACACACATGTGCATTATGTCAGATATATCTCACAATCTCTTCTTGATAAGTTGATATGATTATAATAAGAAAAATTTTCTTTAACAACATACTTCCTACTAAACAACGTATCAAGAAAACATACCAAACAAATATAAATTCTAAGTATTAAGTAGAAGGTTCGAGAAAAACTTACATCGTTAAATCCCTTTGAAAGGAATCGATCAATGTATATGAATCAATCCCTTTGATAAATTGCGGATGAAAAATCTGCGGATGACAAATTGCAACAAAAACAGATTAGTTTGGTTTTATGCAGGAACAATTATAAAACCAAAGATGGTGGTTATAAAGAACCCTAACCCTAATTACAAAGGGACAATGGAGCAATTCCAGTAGAAGGGTCAATTAGCTCGATTCCAGAAGACGAGCGATTCAAGTAAATGGGCGATTAGTTAATACTAGAGATGTACTGATCGATAAAACAAATGGAGAACTAACCATGATAAGCAGTGAATCGCTACCTAAAATGGAGCGATTCCAGTCGATTTCAGAAGAGGAGAGATTCAAGTAAGTGGGAGATGATTGAGAGTAGAGATTGATAGAAGAATAGAGAACTAGCCTTGATGAAGGGATCAAGAACGTGCATCGCTGCCTTGCCTGGAGAAGGAATCGTTGCCTGGGAGAAAGGAACCGATGTCTTTGGGAAAGGAATCGATGTGTTTGGGAGCCGGGAGTATAGATTGAACAATTGTAAGACTTTATGTATAATCGATGTGTTTGGGAGCCGGGAGTATAAATCGTTGTCTTGGGAGGGACGATTTTCTGCAACGTCGTCTTGGCGAGGGGGAGCCGGGTAAAGGAAGCGACGTTTTGGGGGTAAAGGGGGAAGGGTTGAAAAGTAAAGGTAAAGTAAAGGGTATTTTGGTCATTTAAAATTTTAAGACTTTAAGACTTTTAGTGAATTTGCTTAATAAGGTAGTATAGATATAAACTAGTATGGATTCCACGTGTTGCACGATAGTGATAATTTTTTTATAAGAATTATATATCCGAATGGAGATAAACGTAATTTCCCAGTTAACAACTAATGAGATTAAATTTAAAACAACGAATGTATTTTTCATAAGTGGTTAATTTGCATATATTGATAATCGTGTATTGTTATGTTAACTTAAACGACATGTTCTAGAACCATATCAGTATTGTTGTTACTTGTTACAAAGAGTACGAAGATTTTTTTTCTTCCAAAAACAGGGTCGGCCGACCCTCTAAGTTGTTAGTAAAAGGACATAATCTCCTCTTGTCAATATATGCTAACGTCTTTCATACAGTTTTTCATCTTATTACAAATGTGGGATAACCAAAGTCACTGCATTTCTCAAGATTTAAAAAATATTTATTTCTCATGATGTCACCTCATTATCTATGGTTATACATATTGATTATTTGGCCCAACCATATCATTACTGTTGTTACGAAGAGCTTGAATATTTTTTCTTCCCAAAAATGGTCGGCTAAAATTAAGAGTCAACTCAATATGAAATGATTGAAACAATACCACAATGAAAGATTTGATAATACGCAAATCTCATAATGCCACCTCAAATACTTTTCATTTTTCATTTTATATATATGAAGAAAGAAAGATAGCGACATAATTCTTTTTTCTGTTTATATATATATATATATATATATATAAAGATTTACCTTATGTTTTATAAGAACTCTCTATTGAGGGTTGGTAAAAAGACATTTGTATATATATATATATATATATAAAGATTTACCTTATGTTTTATAAGAACTCTCTATTGAGGGTTGGTAAAAAGACATTTGTTTGTAACAAAGGGTGATACAAATAAGACAACGCTATGAGTCAAAACTCATGAGTTGACGTAATGTCATTGATTTATATTCTCACCAATGTAAGACAACCAAATTAACACCTAGAATTTTTGTATTAAATTTTAATATTTGAAAAAAATGAGATCCGTCAAAAGTAACCAACCCTAGAAATTGTAACAAACTCTTTTAATTTTTAAAATCATTCCTTCTTCCTTTTATATACACACCTCGGTCTTTCTATTATCTTCACATCAATTTGGGACAACCAAAATAATACTACAATTCAATATTTTAGAATGTGATAAAATGAGATTTTAGAATACTAAAATCTCATTTTATCACATGTTTGGTTTTTTTTCTTCTTCCATTATAATTAAAAAGACATCCCCTCTTTATTTCATATACACACTTCTTTCTACCCTTCTATTATCTTTACATCAATGTCGGACAACCAAAGTAATAGTACAATTCATGATTTAGAATACTAAAATCTCATCGGGTCACATTATTGGTTGTAGTTCTTTCTTTATAATTTCAGTTCATCATCTCCTTTGATATTGATTGATATTTTGAATTTCAATTTATTATTTCTTTCTTTAATATACTCACTAACATTTGTTATTATATAATATCTATTAACTAGTTTTTGCCAAAAACTATTGCGAAAATGAGCCAAACTATTGATTTTTAAACAAATATATTTTTGTTAATAAGACGGTGTTTAAAATTTACATTTAACCAACCGAAACATTTCATATATGTCAATTTGTGTTCATAATTAGCAAGACACTCGCTTTGATTATTACTTCACTTCTCGATCTCGAGCTCCGACTGTCACCATAAACAATTTTAATCTTCTCAATGTCGTCGTGTTGTTTTCCAATGTCTTTATCCATAATTGTCTGAACAATAATAAACACTTTACTAGAGAATCTCCTCCACCAACCACAAACTTATAAATACTAAAAGTGGAAGATCAATATTAAATATATAAAAATCACAAGATCAATATTAAAAATGCAAAAATCATGAGATGTTATGGATCTTGTAACTCCCAATTAATGATATAAGAATTACAAAAAAATTACCCATATACCCTTAACATTAAATTCTTAGATAATGTAAAACCTAATACTAAGATGGATTGTGATTGGTTGAAAATGTTCATAAAGCTAACACAATAATTTGGGTTAACATTTGAACTAAGCGTTCTCTCTCTCTATCTCTCCATATATATATATATATATATATATATATATGGGTCCATTCAGGGGAGAACTGATTAGTTTGTGGTAACTGTGAGTTCCAATTTCAACCACAAATCAACGGATAAATTAGGAAATTAATAATTATTATAGTTTGAGTTAAAATTATAATCAGAGAGCATTTTAGGTATTTTTAGAAAACTCCTCTCTCCTCTCTCATCTCTCCGACTACCAATCTCCAGCCTCCGGTGAACAAAAATCTTGTAGGTACCAAGTAATCACAAAGATACACGATATGATACCCATTGTGATATACTGTGATACCATTGGGGTACCACTGTGTACCACAGAAAAGGAGTGGCACATCTTCAGAGTTACATCTCCAACGAGATCTGGTTTACATCTCCGGCAACACCTGTGCTACATCTCCTATGAGAGATTGTTCTTAAAACCCCTTCCCATATGTATTTTACCCCCACTCCAATCGCACTTATTGATATAACAAATGGTTCACCTATCGTGGGTCTTGCAATGGGAAGTTTAAAGACTCCATCGTCAACGTGTTCGAAGAAGAGGATGATGATTCAGAACACCCAATCAAAACAAGCCATGACTCCTGGATCTAGAGAGTCTTTATTAAGAGGCCAAGTGAAAACCCTCATACAAAAAAGTCGAAGAAGAAGGTCTGATCTCAAAGATTTCTTTCGAACACAACCCTTTGATCCATAAATGTTTTATGAAATCTCCAGTTGCTGTTCTTGCTCCAACGCCTGCTAATACGCCTCAAGTTTATGACTTTTCAACTAACAACAATGCTTCTGAATCCTTTAATGGAGGGTTTGGGTGTTGTAGTGGTGTTGAAGCTGTTGTTTTTTATGTAAGCCTGGAGGACGGCTCTTTCACGATGAAGGAGAAGAGTAGGATTTTATGATTATAAACATTACCAATTTATCATTTATGTTATTTTAGGATATAACATTAATTATATAAATGATTGGCTCACATTGGACCTCACAGTTACTACAAACTAATCATGTTCTCATTTGATTAGGCCCCTATATATATATATATATATATATATATATATATAGTCAATAACATTTGTTAAACTTTCTTCTCTCCGTTAGTGTTGGTCAACCAACTTAAACTCATGTTTCAAGATTTGAGAAAT